AAGGGTTTGCCTTTTCCTGTTTTCCAACACTGGAATTATCTTCTTTATCAGTCACAAACTCCGAGTTACTCAGGGGCTGATTTATATAGCACACAGATGAAATTTATTTCGATCACTAATGACTAATTTGCATCAATTATAAACAAACAAATGGATAAATATAAATAATGAATATATGTATAAATAAGTAAGTGTAATAATAAGACCAGATGTTTACTATTATTGATTATTTGGTTGTTATTGTTATTGTTATGTTATTATTATTGTTGTGTTGTTGTGCTGTGCTGTGTTGTGCTGTGCTGTGTTGTTATGTGCTATGTCGTTGTGTTGTGGTGTGGTATGGTGGTGTTGTGTGCTTGTATGTGTTGTGGTGTTGTGGTGTTGTGGTGTTGTGGTGTTGTGGTGTTGTGGTGTTGCGGTGTTGTGTGCTTGTATGTGTGTTGTGCTATCTCCGCTGTCTTGTTATAATACAATTTACCCGTTATTATTATCACCACATTTATTATTATACCGGATATTTCTATAACTATCAATTTATAATAAATAAACCAATTAAAATGAGTAATTTATTGAGTTTACACTTTCCTAATATATTATCGGTATAACTCCAAAGTACTGCATGTCCGATATGCATTAACTATCACCCCATTCATCCCACTCCAACTCCCATTCGCCCAATCTTCCCATATTAGTCAATTGCCATCATACGATCAACCCATCCTAATACCTCTCCATCAGCCTCGCTATTTTGCGGACGGGCTGGATTTATGCCCCAATCTTTCTGTCCCACACCAACTAATTCCATAAAATTCGCTCTTCTCATCTGCAAACAAAAATAAATCAAATAGTGATTTTGATACTCCCCATCCATAAATATATAACCAATCTACCCAACCCCATATACAAATATACTCCAATCACCCAGAAATTATCCCCCAAGAAATTAAGTCGGCGAATTACTCCACATCCCACTAACATTTACCACCAACATTTACTCAACTCTCCGACATCAATCAAACCAAAGCCCCCCCGGCTTCAGAACTCCCACTGAACTTTCTTTTCTCACTTCTCCACAAACAAAAAAGGTAAGAGATAAGAGGGAGTAGGCCAAGGAAATGAATATTACTCAACTAGACTACTCCTGTTCCCCGACTACAAAACTGGTGAAGAAACAAACTACATACAACCCAAACAACAACCCACACACTACATAAAGTGCCGTGGAACGATAGTCATACAACCGACATAGTCATACATAAAATAGAATAGATAGAAAAAAAAACGACGACCGATTAATAACAGAAACAAAACAATAATAGTTTTTTAGTCAAAAGTTATACATTATCGAAAACAAACAAACAAAAAAAAAAGAGACACATCAGCAACCACTACTAAGCAATATTGCTGACGCGTATTAAACAAAAATGACCGTACAGTCAACCCTCAACCCTACTTTCTGCTTTGCAACTACTCACTCCCAACCCAACAATTCAAATCTATAGGCCACAATTTGCCGTCTACCATGGATTCCAATCCCCATCCGCGACAGATCGACCCACAAGTTCTTGCTATGCTGACCGTCAAGCGCGACGATGTATGTATTCAGTCTCTGATCTCTATACTAGTAACCCCCCCTTTGACATGGCAGAACATCTGTATTCCTCGGACAATATCACGTCATATCACCACAACCTCGTCTCTACACGCCTCGATCAATAAATCATTGAATAATTCATTCATCTATCCCATCCCATCATATCCCATCTCATCCATCCCATCCCATTCATCCACTTAGCTCGCACGCGCTTACGAATCAGTCGCAACAGCCTTGCGATCAGCTGCAACTGCAGTCGATGAGTTCCAATCACTTCTTCCTCGCGATGTTAGCATACTCCCTCCAACACTCACTCCCGTCAGTCCCACAACAACCGCATTGGCCCCCCGCTCTCATCGCAAAGGACGCAAATCATATAATAAAGATCCAAACGCTCCAAAGAAACCAAACACCGCTTACATCCTTTTCAGCAACGAAATCAGAGCGGAGATGAAAGCCAACAATCCGGAAGCCAATCAGAAAGAATTGGTAAAGTTAATTGGGAGCAGATGGAAAGCTTTGTCGACTGAGCAGAAAAAGGTAAGATGTCTATATGTGTGCGCCGTATATATGTGTATGTGTGTGCGTGTGCGTGTCGTGTATGTCTATTTCTACCTTACACAATCCTATCCTACCAAAATACATCCATATACCTTCTCTCTCTTCCCTAGATCCCCGTCATTAATCAAAGCTCGCTTCCCTCCTACCTTTCTTAACCACGATTTCGTCTATATAGGTCTACGAAGACCGTTATTTCGCCGATAAAGAACGCTATGACGAGGAACTTCGTGCATATCGCGGCGCTCACGGTTCACCGTCGTCATCGTCATCAGCTGAAGAGAACGAAATTCCTCCGATGGTCACAACTCCTGTAACCGCTCAGATGCCTACTGCTGGCAATCAACCATTCGTTCAGACAATCCGTCTCCCGATCACAACACCGCAGGCCCCATACCACGGGGAACCACCTGCACAAGCGAGCATGATGAGCACTTTTTCGGCAAACGTTCCCGTCAACTTACAAGCGGACAGTCGAATCGGCGCTGCAGAGGCAGCAGCAATGAATATGATCGAAGTATCGAACGTGTCCACGCAGACTGGTGTTGGTAATTCCGGCGGGAACGTACAGGGTAACGGGAACGGAGGAAATCAGGGTAGAAAACGATCGTCGGCTACATTAACTCCTCCACCTACCGAAGGCAGCACCGACATTTCCCCAAAAACCTCTCATCCTCCCCATCCCCCATTACAACAACCGCCTCAACAATCACAACCAACCCAACCCGCTCCCGCCGTGTTTCATAACAACGATCAAGAGGATTCGTCCACCGAACAGGGCCCGCCGAAAAAGAAACGCGTTACAAAGAGCGTAAAAAAAACCGCTGTACCGGGCGGAAAAAAAACCGCGGAGACGTCTTCCGAATCGTTAAATTCTAGTGCAGTAAAAGAAGAGGAGGGAACCAATGCCGGGAAAAGGGGTCGGCCGAAAAGGAGCGCGATCTCAGGAAATGCTAACGGGAGTGATGGTAATAAGGACAAAGACAAGCAAGAACAAGCCGGAGCAACAGGAGGTCCTGGTGGTAGGCGCCCAAATGTGAGAACTGCGAGAAATCGATCGAGTTAGACGTTCTTCTTTACTTAGTATTTTTGTATTTGAAAAATTTTTTGTTAGGTTTCAAGACGGGGGATGGGTGATGGCTTATTGGATTTGGGTTATATCGGTTGCGCTTTTCTATAAACAGATTCGGAAAAAATTGTTTACACAAAAAAAAGAAAGGGAAAGGAAAGGGAGTTCCTATAAATGGATGCGTTGATTCTTGCATTCCCTGTAGTTTCGTTTCTCTTTTTTTCATTCCTTTCTTCCTATACTCGTTCTCTACTTTTTCCCTTTTTTTTTCTTTACATAGATTTCTTTTCCCTCGGAAATGGTTAGAATAGGATTCTGGCTTTTTTTTTCTTGCTGGATCGAGTCGGGTATGATTGGATTAATTCGATTCAGTTTTTTACTACATGTTATGCTTTTATCACTCTCACGATACAGACAATTCTAATTCATCTTTTTGATTACACAAGAAAAAAATATAGACGCACTGATTCTCTTTTTCTTTCTCATCATCTAAAACCTACAAAGAAAAAAAAAGAATACCAGTGAATTTTAGACTTTTTCCCCCTCTCTTCCTTTTTTTTCTTTTGCTTTTATCTTTTTACCTTTTCGTTTTTCTTAAACTTATGCGAATTTACATACTTGTCGCGCGCGTCAGATTACGAAAGTGTTTGCTTAATCTCGACTCTTTCTTTTTCTTGTAAAATACTTGCGTGTTCCTTTTCTCCAATCTATACTCTTTTGTCACTCTCTGTGATGCTCTCTCTACCTTGATCTGGTTTCATAGTATTTCCTCTTATTTCATAAATGTACATAATTCTTGGATTCAGAATATTGTCTGATACATAATAAACTCGAGAAAACGTGAAATTGAAACAAAACCAACAACAAACAAACAAAAACCACC